AAGAAGAGCACGGTTGATGGCTGGGACCGGGAGGATGAGGTGGAAGAGCGGGGCGAGCCCAAAACTCGCCACCAGCTCGAGAGGATGCACGCGGTGTTCCGCAACACCCTCCTCATGTGCGTCCTCTCGTTCCCGCAGTTCGGCCAGTTCGACATCACCCGGGAGGACTTGGAGAGCTGGTACGAGTGGTTCTATGGTGAGGACATCGGGGGCCGTTTTCCCCCGCCAGAGGACCACGTCCTGGCAATTGCCGAACGCAACGCATGGCGAAAGATTCACGAGAAGATGCATGAGGGCAACACCCTCAAGGCGGCCATGCTGTCGGTCAGGCAGGACACATTGTTCTGGACACGTGAGGTCTACGAGAAGATCAAGACCTTTTCCAGGGGCCGCCCATCAACCAGGACATCCATGGACTACGCACCACCTCAGAAGGGCAAGAACAAGTCCAAGGGCAAGGGGAAGCCCAAGGGCAAGCCTGGGAACAAAGGGAAGGGTAAGCCCCCCCACCTGAACAATCAGGCGTCCCGGGGCGGTAGCAAGCAGGCAGCCACCGACCCGAAAGGGAACCAGTTCTGCAACAACTGGATGCGCGGGCGTTGCCCGGGCAACTGCGGCCGCACCCACAAGTGCAACCTCATCCTGGCAATGGGCCGCATCTGCCTGGGGGACCACCTCCCGCAGGACTGCCCGGGTTGACTAGGGGCGCTGACCCCTACCCCCCGGGAGGCCTCAGGTGCCGAGGGCCCTGATAGGGTCTGGGGGGGCGAGAAGGGGTGCAAACGCCCCAAGCAGGCACAGAAGCCCCCTCCTGCAGGTGCCGAGGGCCCTGACACAGGGGGGGGACAGGCCAGGTGGCGGCCATCCTCGGCGGAACAAGGATGGGGACGGCAGAACCAGCGTGCACAACGCCCTCGCCGTGACCAGCACAGCCATACAACCGGCACAACGGCGGCGCCTCAGTCCCGAGCCACAGGTGCCGAGGGCCCTGATAGGGCGGGGACGGGACGGTTCCCCGCAGGTGCCGAGGGCCCTGACACGGGGGGCCGCACCCAGAAGGCCCGAGTGCCGGATGACTGGCAGCACACCGCAACGCCAAGGGACACTCCCAGGAGGCAGCCGATCCCACTTCCGGCGCCCAACATCATCAAGCAGGGCCCGGTGGTTTTCCACAAGAGCTCGGTGGGGCTGAATGAAGGGGGCCAACGCCTTTCAGCTACCCCCCTGACAAGTCCGACGGAGCCGTCACCGGGATTGGACATCTTCCCGTGGATGGAGAACATCCCTGAGCGTCTGGTACAGCGGTTGAGATGGACACAGGGCACATCGCCCAAAGTTCCATCCAGTGGGCCCATCATTGTCTTGCTCTATGCAGGCAAGGAGGACCCTACTTCCTTGGACAGCTGTCTTCATGCCAACTACCCACACCTTTCCAGCATGGTGGTGGCGGTAGACATCCTACGGTCTGGACCCAAGGGGGACCACGACATGCTCCAACCCGAGCTGTATGGAGCTCTTTGCACGGCAGCAAAGCAGGGCCGAGTGGTCTTCATTGGAGGAGGACCCAACTGCAGGACATGGTCCATCCTGCGCCACATACCAAAACCGGGGGCTCCCACCCCGGTACGAGGGCGCACTCCGGAGACACTCTGGGGCCTTCCACACCTGGACCAGGCCGCCCAGACTCAACTTGATGATGACAGCATCCTCATTCTGAGACAGATGTACATCACCAGCCTGGCAAGGGCCTCACGAGCGGCAGTTTCTCTGCCAGGGCCCAGGTCCTTCCTGGAACACCCGGAGGACCCAGTGGTGAGCAGCTCGCTGCCCAAAGCCAAGGAATGCTCATCCTTCTGGATCACAGAGGAGGGGCAGCTTTGGATGGAGGAGAACTCCTTGACAGCAATCTCCTTCGACCAGTGCCGCCTGGGCCAGCTGGTCAAGAAGGCCACTACGCTGGCCACGGATCTCCCGATCCAGGACTGGGATCAAATGCGGTGCACGCATCAGTCACATGTGGGCACCAACGAGTCCTCGACTCTTATCAGATACCCTTGGGATATGATGGCAGGCCTGGCCAAAGCCATCGCTGTGTCACTCGCAGCGCCGGGACACATCCGGATCCCCTCACAATTTCCGGGAAACCCCAAGGGACCACCTAAGGGGCGGGGGTCGGACCCCCCGGAAGGCCATTCCCCCCGGGGAAAACGGGGGCCCAGTCAAGGAGGCGGTCCCTCCTCATCACACCAGGGCTCAAAGCCCGGAGGCAAGAACGCCCCGAAGCCCCGCCTGCACGGGCAGTTCCACCCTGAGGCAGACACCGTAAGCCCTCGTGGAACAATGAACCCAGACTTCCCATCTCCCATGCCCCCGATGGCCGGAGATGCGGAACAACTGGGGAAGGAGGGACAGGGGGACCAGGTCCTGGACCGCCCCGAATGCCTGCCCGCTTTCAGGGTCCCACACCTCACTGACCGGGTGGCGATTGTCCAATTGGGTTTCCGCTCACGCCCCCTGAGGGATGGGGGGGGAAAACCTTCCCCAGGGAGGCTCAACCCCCCTTTTCGGAGAATTTCCCCATTGGCTACTTTGGGCGCCTTGATCATGACCCTTACCCGTCCCTGGATTGACAAGGTCCGAATGTCCCTGGCATCAGGTGCCACCACACACCCCTTCCAGGAAGCCGACCTCGAGGAGCTGCGGGCTATCCTAGGACCGAGGCACCTCCATGAACGATGCCCAGGACAGCCCTTCCTCCTGGACTTAGTGTCGCACTTGGCATCCCTTTCAGGTGACCCTGATTGGGAATTCCCCCTAACACTGAAAGAGGGGGTCCCCTTGGGAGTCTCGGACCCCACCTTGACCTCCCCGGGAGTTTGGCCCACTAAGGAGGAGCTTAAGGGAGAAGCCTGGCTGGGGGAAGATCCCCCCCCGCCAGTGGCTCATGGTAACTACCCAACGGCTGAACTCTTTGCCAAGGAAATCGAATCAACCTTTTACGAGGAACGAGCCTTGGACATGGTGGACGGGCCCTTCACTCGCTCCGAGGCGGCAGAGAGGTGCCGCTGCAAACCGGAGGAACTTTGCCCGGGCCCCCTTGCAGGGATTGATGAGTCGGACAAGATCAGGACGATCTATGATGGCTCAAAAGGGGGAGCAAACGCACACATCCAGGCTCACACGGAGGAGAAGACCACCGCACCGATGGTTGGAGACTGCCTCCATGCCATCCACTGGCTCAGGACAGCGGCGGACCATCCTCATCTACTCCGAGCCCCATCCTCGGGCACTGATGAGGAACCTAGGGATGTTCGCCAGCCGGTGCAGGGGCAGTTCCCAGGTGCCGAGGGCCCTGAGAGGGACCCCCACAGCACCAGCCTGCCCCCAGGTGCCGAGGGCCCTGATAGGGGGGAACCCCTGACGTGGCAGCCGCCGACACGGGGGGAAACCTTCATCATCCTCAAGGCGGATGTCACCAAGGCCCACAGGCGCATAAAAGTGCTCCAGAAAGACTGGAAATACCAGGTGGCCTGCATCCAGAACCGGTGGTGGGTCAATAGAGTGGGCACGTACGGCATGGCCTCGGCACAACTGTACTGGGGAAGAAAGGCATCCTTGGTGCTCAGACTCTTGTACTACATCTTCCCTCAGGTAGACTGGCACTTAGTTTTTGTGGACGACTACTGCTGGGTCCTCAGATGCAGTAGGGCGGACTGGGACGCCACAGCCATCCTGGCCACTCTTCTGGCGCTGGGAGTCCCGCTTTCTTGGAAGAAGACGGCGCTCTCCCCGGTCAATACCTGGTTGGGATTCGTGGTGGACCCAATCACGCCCTGTGTGCTGCTGGCTCCAGTCAAGCACGTCATAATCCTGGCCACTCTCAAACGGCTGGCCCAGGGGGACATCTTTACCAGCAAGGAGGTGGAACAAGCCCTGGGCCGGATTCAATGGGCTACTTCGGCGTGTCCATTGACGAAACCTTTCCTCCAGCCCTTTTGGAGCTGGAAGAAGGCCTGCACCACTTCGGGCAGGCCACCGAAGCTGGTTCGTGCTCTGGCCATCCTTCTGGGGAAGCTCTTCAACCAGAGATTCCCACTGGCATCTCCATTTGCTCCCACACTTCCCTGGACGGGGGCATCCGATGCGGGAGCTGGCAAACAGGCGGACCATGCATGGGTTGGTGGTTGGTGCTCGGACGTGCCCAACCCCGACAAGTCCCGCGTGAAGTGGTTCCAACACAGAATCACACCGGAGGGCGAGCCGTGGGCCTTCGCTACTGGGGACCCGCAGCGAGCGATAGCGGCCTTGGAGCTCTTCGGCCTCCTCCTTCTGGTGAGGGCTGCTCTGCTTTGTGCAGCCGGCTCGGTTTCTCACACTAGGATTCTGGTTGCTAGTGATAACCAGGGAAACGTTTTCTCCCTGCTCAACGATTCCACTCGCAGGATGCCCAATGCGGCCATCCTCATGGAAATTGTGTTAACACTGCATGACCACCAGGTCATGTTAGGACCGTCGCATGTGAAGCGCGACTTTAACACATGGGCGGATGAACTTACTCATCCGGACCCGCAATTTCCGACTGAGAACCGGGTCTTCCCCTCAGTCGAAAGCGAATTGATCAAGCTGATCTTCGCTACTTTCCTTCCTCACCCATGATGCCGGGAGGGCATCCGGTGAGGTGGGAGGATTCCTCCCTCGCTGTGGGAGTGGCATCAATTCTACTCCCATCAGCTGCTGAGGGGAGCTGCCCAGTGGAGCTGGGCAATCCTCCCATTTTGGCACAAACCCTTATTCGGCGAAAAGGATGCACCGTTCGCGATTAAGGTACCAGTAGCACCAATGTGGTGCTTTGAAGAGTCTTTCTTTTCTTTTTTTCAGGGCGGGTTCTCGGTTGTCTTTTTTCAGGGCAGGTATTTTTTTTTGTTTGAGTCTCAACGGGCGATCAAAGAAACCCATTTGGAGATCCCCGAGTCGCCGCCGTCGCCAGACTCGATAGCGAGGTACTACAGCCTCGAGGAGCAGCTCCCGGATCAGGCGCGGTGAGTGGAGGGCTCGGAAGGTGAGTGGAGACTTACCCGTGGAGCCAATCCTGGGAGCCCCTAAGCCAGGAAGGTGACTCTCACTTTTGTCTTCTTGCTTTTTTTCTTCTTCCTCCTGAAACACAGAAAAACGCAGAAAACAAGCTTGGTTAAAGGAAGCCAGACTTCCCAGCCGTGATTCTTTGGGTTGACGGGTACCTCCGCCGTCAGTCCATTTGCAAGATTCCATGGGTCCCCTCAACCTCCACTGAACGTCGCTAGGGTCACCCCGGGTCACCTAGGGATGAAGAGCTTTAGTTGATCCTTAGAGATGGCTTTGGGCCTTTGTGCGGTTGCAAATGGCAGCCACTGGGACATCAATGCAACCCCGCATGCCAGCGTTGTTTTTCTTCGTTTTTTTTCCCCTTTGTTGTTTTAATATTTTTTTTTGGTGACTCGGAAGTTGCTTGTACAACAAGCATAGATTGGTTTACAAGCAATTCCCAAATATGTTTTAAGTTTGCAAAGAAAAAATGAGTTTGATGGGACATGTGAAGAAGTTTCAGGCTTGTGTTTTCGGGATTTGACGTAAGGGACCCTGGGGGAAAGAGGAGTTTCGGGCCGCTTTTCACTTGGAGGTCGAAGGCATTTGAGGGAAGCCATTTGCGTTATGGGACGCTTGCAAGCTTCCCGCTAAGAACATAAATTGAATTCTGGGTATGAGGTGATTCTCAACCAGATGAAGTCATGATAGGAGCATCATGTGCGTTGTTGTTTGGCTCCTCGTGTTACATCCCTGCAGCTTCCTCATTCACTGTTGCCCCGATCCTCCAAAAGCTGATCAGAACACAGGTCGACATTCGATTTTAGTTTCCTTGTGCTTGGCCAACGTTTCACCCCGGGTCGAATGGGACACAACCCCTAGGTCGAATGGGATCCCGCAGGCCACTCCAACCTTCCCCTAGCTTAGTACATTTCTCATTTTCCGTTGAGACGGGAAGGGCCGCCAGACTCGCCCCCGAATCTGATGGGTTTTTCCGGGCCAGGATCTGGGGCGCTGCCTGAAGCCCGGGCGCCGCAACGCGCCTCGGCGGAGAGCATGCGGGCGGAAGGGCTACATGAAGCTCCCGAAAGCGGGCGTCCCTGGATCCAGGTTGAAGGTCCGAAATGGAAGTTGAAGTACATACTGTTAACATACGCCTTGTTCAGAGCTTGGCTCTCTAGTTGCCCACTTTGTTATGAGTACTCCTTTTGCTGAGAGGGATAAGAGCTGGGGATCAACTAGTCCAGGGGGGATGTACAAGCATCCCGGCTGGGGACCTGTAACGGCCGCCGGGAGTTTGGTGCTTCAGCCAGTCATGGATTAGGACGCCAATGAAAAGCGGACCTTGCAAGCCAGAAACGGCAACGCGGATGTTGGGCCAAGTAAGTTGGATGTTGCCACCAGCTTAAGAACTTGGCCTACCACACATGGATGAAGGTGGGCTGTCCGAAGAATGTCCCATGGGTTCGGAGGTATGGCCTTTAGATTTTTTGTTCTTCTTCTTTTTTGTTTATGCCGACTTCATGCCGCACTGATGACAGTTTGGGATCATTTGTTGGCTAGAGGGGATGAGCATGCACACTCTTTGCGGTGAACTTGCAATCTTCCGCAAGTTTGTTTTTACATTTTCACGGATGTCCTTGTGGCCACGTAGCCTGCTAAGCCAGTGGCCTCAACCTAGCCATGCAGAGGGTTTGTCAAGGTCGTGACAGGGGGATCAGGGTGATCAACGTTTCAATACACGGTCGTCAACCTCACATTTGCAGGGGTGTTGAATCAATTTTCTCATTTCGGATGAAAATTGGCCCTCCGATGACCCAGGTTTGATCGCGGCTCATCGACTCATTTTGGGCCGTTGCGGTTGGACGTCTGGGTGCCCGGGCCCGGGCCTTCCTTCCTTCCCGGGGGCCCCACTTGGCCGATTCAGGTGACCGTGGCCACGCGGGCGCCGGAGAGCCCAGAGGTTCCGCCGCTACGGGGGAGAAAAAAAAACCAGGGACAGCGTTTTGGACGGATGGTTTTGGACGGACGTGGCAAATCACTTTTTTTTTTTTGGGGGGGGGAGTGATTTCTTCCTTTTCGATGTTTTTCAACCATGGTTCTCTTCAAACATTGGTCGTTTCCTTTGGGTGTTTGGTGTCCTAAGAAGGATTATTGATTCAAGGAGAAGCGCGCGTTTCAAGACTTCACCGGACCTCAACATGGCTCGAACCAAACCAAACAAATCCAAACGGATGGATTTAAAGCTGGGTGTATCATCTATTTTTATTTTTGCCAGCCTTGAGCTTTGTGTGCACCCTGAGTTTTCCTCCCTCCCGACACAATTCTGGGGAGCCTAAAGGAAAACCAAAGGAAAGCCAAGCTGGAGTTCAACTGAGCAACCTGGATTAGCATGTCTTCGAAAAGAGCTTCTCTGGTGGGTTGCATGTGAAGGGGTTGGAAGGTATGTCAAAAACCGCTATGTTGTTTTGTGCGTTGGATTTGAACATGCAATGGAAGACCAATGTGTCATCCGTTTGATTCAGGACATGGTTTGTGCAGTTTTCTTTGTTGGTATTGGAGGGACTGGTCATGAACAGCAAAGAATTGGAACTTTTGTTGCTGGCAGCTTAAGCAAGTTAAAACCACTTCAGCCAAATTGTCTCCAGTCGATTCACGTTTGTCGCATGATCGTCATGAGCGGCAAACGTCTCACCCACGGGCAAGTTTCACATCCGGACCTACGTAGGAAGGCAACATCATCATCAACGAACAAGGTCTTCCCAGAAGTAGCTTCACTTGTTGGCGCTGAAGGGTTCCACGGCTACTCGAAAAAAACACTCGAGGTTTTTCGGAAAGTTGTAGGCACCCCCGCGAATGGGCTGGCTTCCGTTTGGTTTCCCTTCAACACAACCCGCAAGAAGGTAATTACCCTCGAAAGGAAGAAGCAACACTGTGTTTTTTTTGGAGCTTGAACCACTTCGAAAGTGCTTGGTGGACATGAATCCCTGAGTTCTGATGTCCACCAACGGTTCTATGCAAGCCCTGCTTGGGCAGAAGCCGAAGCGTGCCTCCCGAGGTTCGGAGTTCCGTCAGCCGCGCCGTGCGAAGATTTTTCCCGGTCGAGTCGATTCGCGCTCGAGGAATCTCTTGGCCCTTTTTCTTTGCTTTATTGCTACCGTTGACACTGGATTACCCCTGTTTATTCATTTTGAGGTGTCCCTGGGTTGAATCATCACTTTTGGAGGGAACCCCCCCTTTTTACTACACAGGGGTTGATTGATATGGGGTCAACATTATTTGGTAACGGATCTTTGGACTTTAACATTTCGGTTGAAACAGCTCGGGTTTTCCATTGGACCCACAAGTGACACTTTTGCAGAGGGGTCCACAGCAGCCAAGCTTCCGGGGAACCTCGTCCTTTGATCTTTCTGCTGGTTTTGTTGGGGAGTTGTGAGCCTTTCGGTAGTTATATTTTATGTTTTCAGGGCCATTCGGGTGCCTGAGAGTTTCGCTCCTGGCTCAGCCACTCCGCCGATGGGGGCATCGGCCCCCGCCAGGTTCGCACGGACATCCCGGCGCCGCATCCAGGCGACTGAACCGCTCACGCCGAAGCCAATTCAGATGGCGGCTTGCGTCGATGCAAGCGGGTGCGTCTCCTCCGAACATGACGCATTTGTGGGAGGTACTTGGAAGATTAACTTTTGATGGGCCCCTCTGTCAGGTGCCACGTTAGTGGGAGGGAGAGTCCCATCTGCTTTGCACCGGTTTCTTTGAGCCCCTTGAATCCGAAGCCAGCGGATGGAATCCGAAAACCACCAGAATGGATTCGAGTCCGCTGCAATGAAATCCTGCCAACCGCTTTCCAAACCATGGTGGTGGAAAAATGGTAACGGTACCGCAGAAAGGGCGATTATTTTCCGCAATCATGCACCCCGCATTTGGTCTTTGAAGCCCCAGTAGAAGAGTTGCTAAGTGGTTGGCTTTGCCATGGTCATAAACCACTTGCCAGGATAGCAAGCACGGTGACAACCCACCCAAAAGGTACCCTCAAAGAAAAGTCCCGTGAAACGAATGTCCGTCGGGAGATATTCATTTCCCCCATATTCGCGCTTTTTGTGGTCTGACCGTAGCTCCTCTGATTTTAAGTCAGTTTATATGTGGCACTAAGGGTCAGTCCCATGTCCATTGGCCTTTCAAAGAGACCCCGGCCTTGTGAGGCATTTGGTCTTATTTGTTCCTTACAAGGTTTATACACCCGGCCATATTTGGCCAGTCTGAAAATCTCGTTCATAAGGTTTATGCACCCTACCACCTGGGTGGTTTTGG